GCCGATCTTGGTGCCCGTCGGACGCCAGGTGATGTGCATGCTGTAGACGGCTGGACGGGAGAAGGCTCTTCAGTGAGCTTCACTTCACACACTCCCCAAGCGGTTGGCTTTCTGTGCAGCTTGCTTTGGGGTCCTTATATGAGCCACCGCAAGGCCACAGGGCAGCTGAGGGTGGGAAGAGAGCACAGGAGGGCGTGCTGTCTTTAGGGGTGCAGACTCCACGGCTTCGCTGGCCTGCCACGTAAGCTTTATCATGTCACGAAGGGGCTTGAACACTGGCTCAGTAAATGCACACACTGTCCCCGGCTGGCTGTTGCCTCAGGAGAAGAGCAGGTGACAGATGGTGAGTTCTGGCTGTGAAGGGGTGGACTTGGGGTGTGTATGGGAACCCTCCCCCCGAAATAAGTCTCCCCCATGTGGGTCCTGAGTGGGAAAGTGTGCGATGCCTTCCTTTACTTTGTGCCTGTCAAGATCGCCTGTTATATTTATTGTTTAGAAAGAACGCAGTTCATTTTCTTGCCGGTGCATCTTACTGTGTCTGGCCAAGGGGGCAGTGCTTGGTGAGTCTGTGCTCCAACACGAATGAGACGGATCTGGGGAAGGTCGGAGAGTGACGGGTTCAGCAGGCAAACTTCCTCTCGGAGCGTGAGCACTCCCCAGGCAGAGGGCAGGCAGCCTGTGCTCGCTGCCTGTGCTGCTTGGGGAGTGGTGAGCTGCATGTATTCCAGTTCCTTCTCTCTAGACAACACCTTTATTTACTTCCTATGTGGCACTTGAGCATGTTAGGACCAGACACAGGGCCTGGCGAGCCACCCAAAGCCTGCTGAAAGGGACAAAGAGGCAAGTCACATGCTTAGTGTCAGCCCCGGTGGCAGAGCTGGGGCCCTGTGTCAGGCTCCGGGGACAGTCTTTCCTGCTGGTCAGCCCCCTCCTGATGCTGGCGTGTCAGCCTCAGTGGGCCCCTGGCTGTTCTCCATTATAGATGTGCCTGCATGTCACCACAGCTGTGAGTCCCCCAGGGCCAAGGGCAGGCTCATCCCCAACCTGCACAGACCGGCCCAGAGTGCTGGGAGGAGGCGCTAGTGAACATGTGTTCAACGAGTGACTGCATTTGGTGCCAGTACCTCGGGGGCACTCATGGATGTGCGTGCGCGTCCCACACCCCCACCGCTTTATTCATTTGTGCTCAGCAGGCACCCTGGGCACCTTGGGCTTTCCCCTTCTCACGGGGAGAGGCGGGCGCCGAGGCCTCTGGGGCAGAGGCTGCCAAGTGGGCAGAGCCTGAACGCTCCGTACCTGTATTACTCCCAGGCGAGGTCCCGAAAACCCACCTAAGATCAGCAGGATGAAGCGGAGGGGGGTGAGGGCTGTCATGCTTGGAGATGAAGTTGTAGTAAGGATAAGATTTTTAATTTTTGTATATTAAATGTGTTTGGGAGCTTTCGATTTTATTTATTTGAGAGCATGATGAAAAGGCCTCCTCATGCAGCTGGGTGCCTGGTTTTGTGCATTCCTGGAGACGTTTGCACCCAGGTTCTGGATAGCTGAATTCTGAGTCATGTTGGGATTCTGGCATGAGAAGTAGGGTTTGTGAGACCCAACCTTTGAAAACCACAAGGTGAGAAAAGTCCTGGAAAGATATTTCCTTCTGACGGGTGTTCCCCTCCCCCCACTGTTTTTTCGAGGGTGGATACTCCTTTGCAAAAAAAAAAAAAAAGTACTTGGTATTGCTTAGAGTGGGAACGGTTTACTTTGTACTGAGTGGAGCAGCATGTGGGAGGTTTGGGTACAGCCCCAGCACATTAGATAAATATTATTTGTCAAGGGGGTGTGGACACAAACTGGGGTTTTGAAATAGGCATCCACGTGTGAATCTACTCACAAGTGATAGGCTGTGTTTATTATCAACATCTGTCCATTTGAGAAAAGCAGAGTTTGCATCACAGTCAGCCAGCAGTAAGCCGGAAGGTGTATTTCTGTGGTTGTTTCCATGCGGATGGGCCCTCCCTGCAGAAGAAGTGGTCTAGTCCTCCTCCTCCCGGCGGTGCCCGCTGTCTAGGGTGAGACTCATGCCCACTGGAAGCTCACTTGATGTGAGGACGCAACTGTTTAGGCAGGAAGAAAGGCGTAACTAATTACTTTTTAATGTGCGCTTTTTAAAGATGACTTCTTTGCTATTTTGAAAGTAGGCTATGTGAACGAGAAAAGTTAGGAAAATCCACTTAGGAAGATACTGAAAAAGACTCCTCCTACTTCCTAAATGCAGGACTCTAAAAAATGTTGGTCAATCTATTGAACAGGTTTTCTTCTTACGAATTTCTTTAAAAGCATCGGTGTGAAGTAGGTACAATCCTGACCTGTCACGGAGCTCTGCTCCGTGCGGACATGCTCAGAAACCACAAGAGTGAGGCCTGGACCGCAGTGGGTTCCAGCCCGGCTCCTGCAACGTGCAGGTCTGGAAATGGGTCTTTCAACTTGACCTCCCGTCCGTGCAGTGGGCCATTCAAACTAGAGCAGGATAAATGGGCCAATAAACCACTTATCAGCTTTACTCAAGTGCAATTTTAGTGCATGGTTTTGATAACTAGGATGAGAAATTCAGGCAGAATTAGTCTTAAGCCTGAAAACAAAGTCTGAACTAAATAGGTCTTAGGAAGATTTGACGTCAGATACGGTGAGGTTTTGGAAATATCAGGGCTTGTGGCTAATGGGAGACACCTGCTTTGATTATCTCGATTGGATTCAAAGGGGAAGGCCTGTTTGTGGGGACCCCTGGGGCAGCGGGGTACAGTGGATGGTCCTTCTGAATAGATGTGGCTGGGGCCCTGCCTCAACCACTGCATGTCCTTGAGGTCTCTTTGGCAAACCTCCTCCATCACTGAGGTCTGTGGGCCTTGGTGGGCGCTTCTCCTGAACTTGACGGTATGTGTGTGTGTGTCGGGGGAGGGGCCAGGGAGTTGTTGAGAGCTGGCACCAGGTGAATCTGAGTTCTGATTATGTGATCTCCTCCCAGTCCTAGACCTTTGGGAATGTCTGTGGGGCTCACCCTTGTTTATCGCTGTAAAGCTCAGGAGCCCAGAGGGAGCTTGGGGTGTGAAATGGCACCAGGTGATGGGCCTGGCTAGCCCCCCTTTCCCTCTCATCTCTTTCAAGGGTATAGTCACCATCCAGAAACCTCCTTGGTTTTAATTAGGGTGCAGGTGGTCCATTTGGCCTGATCCGAGCCCTGTGCCTGTGGGGGTACCTCAGAGTCCGCCGGCCAAGCGTTTTGGGGAGGCAGGTTGGCGTGGTGAGCACAGAGCAGGAGAGGGCCAGGATCCGGCCCCGGGGCCACCATTCAGGAACCGAATGACCTTGGCCAGTTAGTTAAGCTCTCTGGCTTTGGCTTTCTCTTTCTGAAATGGGGGCAGTAGTATCCATATCATTCGGTGGTTTGTAAAGATTAAAAGGAGATGAGGTGTGGAAAGCACCCAGCCCAGTGCCTGGTAGCTGCTCTCATAGGAAGGTGAAGGTGTTCTCAAGGGCGGGTTATGGCGGGTCAGCTCAGCTCTCCGGGCTTCTGTGCATGAGAGGGCGTCTCTGGCTCTCACTCCAGTTCTCCTTTAAATCAAAGTAGCTGTTCACCCTGCCCGGGAGCACAGCCATCCCTGCTGGAATCCTTGGGCTGACCGGGGCTGCTCCCCTGCGAAGGGCCGGTGGGATCGAGCCTGCCTGGCCTCTTTGGAAGTCCCCGGAATTCTGGTCCCATCAGCGCTCTTACCTGATCTTCCCGTCTGCGCTTCTGCTAATTAGTGTGATGAGAAGACCGAATCCACCCGTCTCTGTGACTGTCCCCTCCCTCTTGTTGGCCCACGCCCCGCATCCAGGGTGTATACGGCTCCTCTCAGCCTCCCTGTGTTTGTTCGTACAGGTCCCCTGCCTGCAGTGCCACCCACGCCCCTCTCCTGTCTGGAGTCTGTCTTATCTCTGAGACGCCTCCATCCCAGCTCCTCCCTGCCCTGGCCAGAGTGCTCCTCCAGTGGGGTCTCCTGCTGCTCCTTTCCGTTTTGGTTTTTCTTCAGCCCCAATTTGTTAACAGGGACCTTATCTTACCCCTCCCAGTACATAGCCCCCTAGTAGACCTTAAGAAATACTCAGGTGATTGATAGCACACGCCCCACTCTCCGGGGCACTGCTGTGTACAGTGGCTTTCAGCCTCACTGACCCTGACCTACATTAAGAAACACATTTTAGGCTGTGACCCAGTAGAGAGAAAAAGAGCAGCTCACATGTACACACGAGGGAGACAAGTTTCACAAGGCAGTCCTACCCCCAGTCCCTCGGATGCTTCCTTTCTGTTCACATCGTGTTTGCTTTTAATGCTGACTAGGATTTACCAAACGGATCGCACTGTGGTCTGGCCTGCAGTTTGAAAACACTGGCTTGGTGAATATTAGAGCCTGAGGGCGGGGAGGGGGCTCCGCTTGTCCCTCCGTCTGGGGGTGCCAGTCAGAGGCTTCACTGGGCTGAGTGACAGTGGCCAGGCAGGGATAGGCAGGCCCGGAAGGGTTCGGGTCCGTCCCCCCTGCGTCCTGCAGAGAACCGTTGTGCTTCAGGAGCCCATGGCGCCCTCCCCTGCCTACAGTTTGGTCCAGAGGAGACAGCCCTGGACTAAGTCCGTTCCCCCGGATTCAAGTCCTGACTCTGCCACTTGGTGGCTGGGAGACTCTCGGCAAGTCACCTCGCGTCTCTAGGCCGCCCGTGTTTCGCAGGGTGCCTGGCGCACAGCCCCGACCCCTGGAGTCCTGCATTCTGCTCAGGGCCCGGCAGGGCGGGGGCCGTCCTTGAGCCCGGGCCCTTCCTCTCTCTCCTCTCTGTCAGCCTGGATCAGAAGGGAGCTCCGTGGAAACCAAACAGCCAGTCGCCTTCTGCCCAGACTTTGGGGTGGAGCTGATCCGTGTGCGTGTGACCCTGTGTGAGGTGTGGCGCCCCCCGCCCTGACTTGGCGTGTTCTCTTCCAGCCCTGAAGGATGGCTACCATGTTGGGGGACGCCATCATGGTGGTCAAAGGCCTTGCCAAGCTGGCCCAGGCGGCCGTGGAAACCCATCTGCAGCACTTGGGCCTCGGCGGGGAGCTCATCATGTCGGCCAGCGCCCTGCAGTCCACGGCGGCCGAGAAGATCGGCATGGTGTTGGGGATGGTTCAGGTAAGGGGGCCAGTGGGAGCGGGGCTGGACGTGCAGCTCTTGGTGAGGCCAGGACGAGCCAGGCTGGCTGGTCTCCCTGTGGCCTGGGCCAGAGAGCCCACCGGCTCGTGTAACCTGCTACCCCTCTGCGTGGGGCAGCGTCCCTGGGTGAGGCTGCCAGTGTGTGACCCACGTGCGAGTTGAAGGGAGCTTCACTGAGCCGGGACGCAGCCCCGGCAGCAAGTCGCCCAGCACCCTTGTCAGATGAGCAGCTCACCGGCACTGACCTGCGGATGCTGGGCGCAGGGCAGACACCAGGCCCCGCGCGCTCCCTCGGCCTGGCCTGAAGGTACTGAAGAGAGAGGCCTTTTTAATTTTGAAAATTAAAACCATCACAAAGAAAAAAGTAACACCTGTATTCTTAAGGGAGGCAGCTGAAAGGATCCCTGTATGCTTTCTTCACGGAAACAATTTTTTTTTTTTTTAAAGACAAAGCACCTTCTCCTTGTTTATCTGGTTTATGTGAGTTTTTTTGTTGTTGGGTTGGTTTCTGTAAAGAAATGACGGAAGCCACCCAGGGTATAGGCTCGATGGGGGCACGGCCAGGCTGCGCAACGCGTTCCGCTGGACATCAAGCCTCAGCGTGGAGCCGTCCAGGGCCTTCCTCAGGCTTCGAAGGCGCTGCCCACCGTGTCCGCTGGGCCAGAGCCAGGGCCACGCCTCACGTGTCTCCTGCATTTTTCTGTGTGTCTTGGTCCTGATTCAGGGGCTGTCCTCCTTTCCAGGGTGGGAGCTGAAAGCTGACGGCAGCTTCACCTCCTGCCTCCCTCTCATCCCTCGTGCTGTCGTTGGTGTCCCACTACATTTTACCACCTGAGGGGAAGGTTTAAGCAAAAACGAGTGCTGGAGCAGTGACTGTAAACAGGGCTTGATACAGCGGAGCACTGTCCACCATGGTGTCACCTTGCACAGTCCCCTGCAACCGTTCCTGATAGCCCCAGGGATGGGAAGGGGGTGTGTGCACACGTGTGCATACGGGCACATAGGTGTTGGGAGTTGTGCTGCACAGGGTACCCCGTCACCTGTGTCCTTCCATTTCTGTGCTGTGGGGCTGACCTTCTGGACAAAGGACATGGGCTCCCCCAGGCTGGGAGGCCATCACGGCCCACAGGCCTCTGATCAGTCTGTTTGCTGATTCCCAGCCCCTCCCCTCCTGCTCCCTGAGGGCCCAGTGGTGATATGTGTGTCTCTCTCCCCCCAAACGAATGCCTTTAATTTCTAGAGGTCTTCACCCCTGTGACCCCATCCCAGCCCTACTGCTGTCCTGGGAGGGGGCAGGCCTAGACGCTTACCCCATTTGCCAGATGGGGAAGCCAATACTAAGAACCCTGCTGTAATCGTTAAGTGACCGGGTCAGGGCCCTGTGTCCTCTTCCCAGTGTAAGAACCCTGCCCTTGCCCTCCCTCTGGAGAGGCCGGCTGTGGCCCTGGCCACCTCACGCGGTGCCTTTTCTACTGCGGGGCCATTGTCTTCCTGTGGGGTGTTTGGCCTGTGGAGCACTCAGACAGTGAGGTTGCCCAGCTCACTTGGGCTGCCCAGGAGTGAGACCTCGCAGGGCTCCCTGCCCGGCCTCCCGCCCTGCCCCTCTGTCCGCTCGAACGGGCCTGGCCTGCTCTCTGCAGAGGCAGGGCCATCCGCCAGCACGGCCGTTTGGAGGTAGGAGGGAGGCCCTGAGCGGGGGGATGGCGTCCACTGTGCTCCTGTTTGTTCCCTCCACACTCAGATTGCGTTGCCTCCCTTCCCTGTGCGGGGACGGAGGGCCAGATACTCCAGAGACCTCTCCCTCCAGCTCCTCCGGGGGTTTGCTTCCATCTTCATTCAATAGACACTGAGGAGTCTGGCCCCATTGAAACACGGCGGGCCCGTGGGGCCTCCCAGCCGCATAAACAGGTCATGATAATGCAGTGCCAGGCAGCCGTCACAGGAGTCGGGGCAGGAGGAGGCTCTGGGGACCCAGTCCTGTCACCCCAGGGCTTTCCAGCCATCTTGAGATGGGCCTAGTGAAGCCAGTACAGTTTATTTCTGCTTTGAGAAAAGTGCCGTCTGGCGGCCTCGGGGCAGCCGGCGCGCCAAGCCTCGGCTCAGGACCCCTGCTCTGCCACTGGCCGGCTGGTGGGCCTTCACCAGATTACTCAGCGCTCTCAGCCGCAGTTTCCCATTTATGACTGAGTCATAGCCAGTCTCTTTCCTTCCACTGGAGGCAAGTCTTATCTCCCTGGATCCACAACATCTAATACAGCTGAGAGGGAGCGGGCAGTGGGGCTGCTGCGGTGTGTGCCGGAGCCGCGGCCACACTGTGCGCACCGAGGCCATTTCAGGGGAGCAGGAGGCAGGGCCGTTCCAATCACAGCCTCCTGGGCACTGTGCCCCTGGCCCTGCCTGTGGCCCCACATAACTCTGTGACTGTGGGGAGTTCTATTTTCAGATGAGGAAGTAGCGCAGAGGGGTCAGGAACTCACTCAAGGTCACTCAGGGTTCAAAAGTAGAAAGAACCTGGGCCCAAAGTTCAGGTCTTGGCAATTGCCACAAGAAAAACATGGTGTAGCCCCCTCCTTGCCTGTTCCTGTACCCCCAGCTGCCAGGGACAGTCAGGGCGGTCCTGGTTGTGACAAGCCCACGGCTGACTGGTGGAGCCGTGTCTGCGGTGAGGCACTGGCCTGGAGTGGCAGGGCGTCCCCATCTGTGCACTGCCCTTGTCCTCGCTGGTTTATGGTTGAGCTGACCCCTCAAAGCTCTCCTGTCTTTTGTCTTAGTTCACCCTCCCCAAAGCCCCGGAGGCCTGTCCTGTAACACGTGAGGAGCTTGCTGCCTGGAGTGGTGGTCACTCGCCTGGTCCCCGCTGGGCCCCCAGCAGGTTCTCAGTGACGGTGTGGCTTGCCCGGGACCACACCAGCACAGCCCTGGCAGAAGCAGGGCGGGGGTCCGGGGGTCCTGGCTCCGGAGCTGCGAAGGTGCTACTTGCCTCCGGAACTGTCCACAGGCCTCGGGAGTAGCATGGTGTTGCCTTCCAGAGGCTCGGAGGGTGGGACAGTGGTGGCGTGCTGTCCTGTGCAGAGGGGGACAGGCACGGGGAGGGCCACTTGCTCCTCTCACGCTGGCGTTTGTCCCCTGCAGGGTCAGAAGTATGAGGAGCCTAACGTCGCCGAGAACTTCGAGGACCTGGAAGCAGAGTCCCACTTCTCCGGGCCGGGGGCCGACGGAGCCTCCGCAGGTTTCTCTGCAGCCTCCTCGCCCGACCAGTCACCACCGCCGCCCTGGGATCACACAGGCAGCAAGGGCCCAGCTCCTGCGTATGCTGACAGCGGACCCTTTAGGGAAGCGGGCCTCCCGGGCCAGGCCGCCTCCCCTCTGGGCAGGGCGAATGCGAGGCTCTTCGTAGACACCAGCGCCCCCTTCTTGGGCACCGGCCTTCAGCGAAGGTTCTTCCATCAGGACCAGTCCCCCGTGGGGGGCCTCACGGCCGAGGACATTGAGAAGGCCCGGCAGGCCAAGGCTCGCCCCGAGAGCAAGCCCCACAAGCAGATGGTGCGTCCTGGAGGGCCCCGTGGAGTGGGGCCTGTGCGTGGGGGGTTCCTACAGAGGTGCCGATGTCAGGGCCCCTCCAGGGACGATCTCCAGAGGGTGTGGTCTGGAGGTTTCAGGAACGTGGAGGCCGCCTCTTGGTGGAGTGGGCTGCCAGGCGGTGCTGCTGCCTTTGGGGGTGGAGAGGGGATGTCGGGAGCAGCATGAACCCCTGAAGGTTGGTCCTGACCTTGTTCGTTGATTCCTTGAGGTCTCTTTCTGTTCTCCCTCCAGCTCAGTGAGCGGGCGCGGGAACGGAAGGTGCCAGTTACGAGGATTGGGCGGCTGGCCAACTTCGGAGGTAAGGTGGCTGAGTGCCCCTGTGCCGTCTCACCTGCCCTGGCATGCCAGTCCTGGGGCCCACATGGAAGTAGAGGAGGGTAGGGACCCAGGGGCGTCCCGGGGAGGGCATAGCCCCTGCGGTAGGCAGTCCTGGACCTTGCCCAGGGCGGATGACCCAGCTTCTGGACTCCACGCTGCTTCACCTCACCCCGGGGGGGCGGTGTGGCTCCGGCCGTCTGTGAGCTGCAGCCTTGCTTCTCAGGCCACCTTTGGGGACAGTGTCCACAGCATCAGCCTGTCCTCCTACCGCAGCCTCCCAGCTGCTCTGCCCCTTCGGAGGCCTCTGCAGGAGGGAGCCTGGGCAGTGAGTAGAAGTACTTCACTGGGCCCGTTTGGCTCCTAGACAGAGTGGTTTTTGCCCCTGGGTCCAGCCATTTGGGGACTCGTTTGCTGGATTCTCACAGGCCTGTGGGGCATCAGTGACGATAATGAGCTGCTGTGGCCCAAAGTCCATTTTAAGATGCTGCAGAGTCACGGCTTTATTTGTCCTTTTCTTTGAGGGTTGGAGTAGCCATTGCTCTTTTGATCTGCGTGGAAGGGTCATTTTAAAGTGAAGGTTTATAGCCATTGTATCTGCCTTTATGACATCATGTTGTCATATCTATCGCTTATTTACTGACCAAGCTGTTCCCATTGAAAGCGCCACCCCCTTTGCAATGGTATGCTTTAAGATGGAGTGTCTGGGAGTGCATTTCTCCAAAGCTCACCGTCTGCAGTAGGCTCTCCAGACAACACAGCGAATGAAAGCAGTTTTGGCAACTTGATTCACACGTGGGCCGGGGGCAGGTGGGTATTTGCCAGGCTGTGTGTAACAGAGGCCTGCTGGGTTCTTGATGACGCCAGTGCCGAGTGATCACCAAGGTCCATGATTGTGCGTCTGCCTACCTGCCTTTTGCTTTTGGGGCTGGTTTATACGTCTCCCCTGCCACGTGCCCTCCATCATACATGCTGTTGCCTGCTGCTGCTTCTCCTTTTGGAAACTTCATCCCACTCCTCTTTCAAGATGGGCTCTGTGCTCCCCGATAACCTGGTACTCGGGGAGCTGGACTGACGTGTGGTCCATTGATGGCTGGCTTCTTGTGAACGTGCAGAGCACACTAGGTTAATTGCATGGAGTTTTCTCAACCGTGAGGTTGTGTTCCATATTGCTATCTTAAAATTTGGCATCTGCTACCTAGATGTTCAAGAATGTAGCATTAAGTGTCATCTGAATATTAGCACAGAATTATTGCTTTATTTCACTTTAATGGGGTGGCATTTCAGGCAGCCCCTCACAGAACATCGTCAGTTCCTAGGGTGACACCACCAGAATGAATTTGAGAATCGCTGCTCTGGTGGCCTCCAATGATCCTTACTTCCTGGAAGACATGGCAGGTTCCTTGCTTTACACCATAGCTATTAGTTGGGTAGCATTCATTATTTCTTACTTAAAGAATTGAATGGCCATTCTCTTCTCTCCCCTATGAGTTTGAGGGCAGGAACTATCCTCCTGCCCTGTAGTTTTTCTCCATAACCTTCCCCTCACTGCAGACCAGGGCCCACCCCAGAAGGCTTAGTTTGACTGATGCATTTTATTTTAGAACAGGTGTAAATCCTCTTAGTCGGGGGTGGGGTAGTGGGGGATCTGGGAAAAGGGGTCAGAATGAAGGTCGTGGTGATAAGTTAGTTGGATGGAACACCGTGAAGTCCTGGGGAAGTGTTTAAGAAGACAGACTGAAGTAGAAGGTGTGTAGCACAAAAAGGCAATTAGTACAACTAGGGTGCAGGGCTCCCCTCGGGGTGGCGGGTATGGGCAGCTGGAGGGAGCCTGGGTGGGGGTGGAGCAGCTCTGGTCTTAGGTGCTTTGGACAGTCAGAGCCTCCTGAGCCCTTGCTGGCAGCTGCCCGATGCCTGGCCCGTCCTCAGGTGTCTGTGTGCTGGAGGCTGGCCCACCGCTGTCATTCAGAGCTGCCCACATGGATGCCCAAGCCATTAACAGCTGATATTTCAGGCTTGGCGGTAGCAGGACAGGAGCAAAGGGGATCTAGGTTGGGAAAGAATGTGCTATTCTGGCCCCAGAAGTGAGTTCTGGGCCTTCTACCTCACTGAGAGGATTTCAATCTGTGGCTTATGACCCTTTAGTGGGTGTGAAATCAATTTAGTGGGTCAGGACCAGCATTTGAAAAACAAACAGAATGGAATTGAGTAGAAAACGATCAAAATGAATATCATAGATCCTTTGAAAGAACTGTGCACATTGCAAAGATATTTTTGTTTCAGAGGTAAAAACATATCTTCATTGCATTGTGAAATGCATGGCTTACTAGTGTATCATTGTCTGAACGGTCGGAGTGGCACTGCTGTACTCTGTTCTCCTAGCAAACACTTCCAGCCTTTTTTCCCCTCGTGGGGGTGAGATGTTTTTCAGGTGTAGACCAACAGGCTTTAGGAAATGTTTACAC